GAAACGACTGTTGCGTCACCGCATCGTAAACTTTTCATCAGCTAGGTGATGTGTTGACCTAAGGAAACATTCTCACTGCATGGGCGAGTTAGCTCGCAAGCCTAAGCAATGACTATTATCGTTTTGACAGAAAGAAAAATAACTTTATCTTTGCACCTGAAGATACTTGGAATTTCTGTGTAAATAACTGTACAGCGTTTATCTTTACATAAGGTATGTCAGTATATTATATAAGGTAAGTATGTAAGTAATATTTTGTTATTTCCTCAAGCCTTTTTACTTTGCAAAGAGACTCTCTCGAATTAAGCGAGCAGCAAAACCTAAACAACAGTGAAAATTCATACTAGACATGTCCGACTCTTAAGTGTTTTTCAGAAACCGGAAGTACGCTGGGGTCATTTGTGTGGAAAAGAACCGTGAATAAACTCAGTTCAGTCCCTCATATATTCCTTCTTGACAGTAACCAAACGCGCTCACCGTTTTCCCGTCACGTCTGCCGCCACTGAGTGCGTATAATAGGAAGTTTAAGTAACCACGACAGCGACGCCAAGAAAAACGTCGATTAAAAATGGATTTATATTTTACCTACGAATCTCGCGGCACTGTCAAAACTACCACAAAAATAAATTTGAAACGCAGCGATATATTTGAAAGAGAAATTTATAAAATAGCTTTAGTGGTTCACGTTCTCCAGACAACGCAGAACTTGGTCATTTCACGTTGTGCAGAGGACGCCGCAAAGAAATGTACTGAGAATTACAACGCACGTGCACAGCCTTTGTCGTCGCCGTTACCGTCGTGGTTTCCTTAAACTCCCTATTGCTCGATTTCTACGCCCGGATCCCCTTATCTTAGCAAACGTATTTACTTTGGAATTTAATAATGCACTCCGATTTGCTCATATCCCAATATAAACAGTGTTAGGGTTATGTCATAACTTTGGGACATGGTATGAATATATATTTCTGTTTCTATAGAGCCAGAAACAACGGGGATACTTCGCTGGTGGTAGTGCTGAGGCCTACTCGGTACTGGTAGGCCTGCACTAGGATGATCAGACCAGTGC